AAAAGCTTAAAAAAACAAAAAATATATCAAAAAAATAAGAAGTATCAGAAGTCTTTATATATAGAATTTTTTCACTCAGCAACAATTCCAGTGGTCTACTCTACATATACATTTCTAAACATCAACCCATTTAACACTACTAAGACAGCCAAACATGTTTATTTCATAAATTAGGAGGAACGTTCGCCAGATTTAAAATAAGTTGTTCATAAATTTTGACCCCTTTTAGAAAAACTTTTTCATCAAGGAATTCATCATGGTCATGCAACAGAACCGGAGTATTGTTTATTGGGCTGAAACCAATTGCCATGACTCCCTTCTGAAAAGGCCGCTTTAAGTTCTTCAGAAAAATGGTATGGTTGAATACTTCATCTCTCTTTTTCGAGCTAACAGAATAAAAGCGAAGTCCAAAACGCATTCATTACTGACAAATGAACCAGAAGAAACTTACAGCCCTCATGTAGCGCGCATCAGTAGATCCCGGAAAGATCTGTTTTACAATTTTCAGATTCCTAAAAACACTAAATAAAATAAATCATCTTTCAAGAGTTCTGTTTGGTAATGGGAGAGAGGAGTACACGTATTTGGTAGAGAAAATCAAAAAAACCGAACTACTCCAAATTGGCATCTGTAGCTACGGCCGACGTGCTAATACTCCATTTTTAACACCAATCTGGCCACTAATTACATTAAAAAGTAAAAAAATTACATCTTATCAAACACAGAAGAACATGCACGCCACCACGGATTGTCCTTGGAAAGAGGAGTCAAACATTTTGGTCTTTTCTCCTGAAACTTCTTTTAGCAAAATGTGATTACTTTCAAATCAAAACGCTCAAAACCTTTGAAAGCAGCACCAATTCGAGCGGCTAAAACAAGAGCAAAATTAAAAATCTCACCATTATAAAACGCATTGTAACATCGGGTCCCGCTTCTTCACAGAACTTAGCAAACTTCTTTTCCATCATCTACAATTTCCTTCTAAAAAACCTGGATAGGAAATAAACAAGAATTTCCAATTGCTAACCTTGATTTTTAGCTTCCTTATTTGTAGCTACAAATCTGTTAAGAAAAAACTACGATCAATGTAGCGAAGTAAAAAAAGGAAACCTGGAAATCATATGTCGGTGGCATTCTTATATCAAAATCTAAAAAAAAAGATAATTAAAGTTGACCTAAAGACACAAGCAACTTGCAGAGACAAGTCCAAATTTTCAAGATTAAAATAATCAGAAAATGCAGTATGTCAAAACTATTATTGAAGAAAAAACACTTGACTCACATGCCTTGAGCTCTTGCGGAAGGATATTCACTTCAACGCCACCCTAGAAATCAGAGAGTGAAGTTTCGGAAGATATAAGACATAGGAAAATTCTCCAATGAACGATTTGACCAAGACGGTCCGCTCAATGTCCAATAAGCAATTATTTGTAAGACTGAAGCTAACCTGCTGTAAAGGCTACAAACCTATCTAGTCAAGAACAAAAAAAGATTGCATAAAATCTACACCTACCTCAACTTTTGTCAAATTAACTGTAATTACATCACCAATTCTTAAAGAAGCATCAGACTGCAATAATTTTTTCTGTTCATCCGCAAATGATAGAAAGGAGTTAATCACTTTTCTCTGAAAAAGATACAGTTTGTGAGGGAATATGACCAGCGATGTCCTTCACACAACCTACAAATTTTGGAGCTAACGCCATTCCGACAAGAAATAACTTTCACGTTAGAAATTAAGGAAAAGTAACAAATTTGTCACAACACTGTGGAAGGTCACAAAGACTCACAAATTTCTCCGATGCAGTACCTTCTTGATAAAGAGATCCATGCCCCGGTCGACCTCGACAAGTAACTATTGACCCTAGAGAGAAAAGTTCTTATTGACAACTACAAAGAGAACCGTGAATTTTAAGAATGCAGAATTCTTTTAGCTACAGCAACACCTACACCAAGGCGATCGTTCAGCATAAAAGACATTGAACTCTTCAGTTTCGCTTGCGTTCCCCTCATCTAAAGCAAATCCAACGTTTAACTGTTTGAATTCTTCTGTCTCAACAAACTTCGCCATTCCATCTACTCCTCCAATTTCTTCGTCTAAACAGAAGACTGTATTATTCATAGTAAGTGAATTACAAGATAAAGCTGAAAAAAATTAATGAATAAGAATTATTGGCACCGAAACCAAATGTTACCTGGAACGAATAGCAAATGAACTGTCCGTAAAAACTGCTTAATGCTTTTTTTGAATAACCTACGCAGAGCTTCGATATACTGAATTCCATTGGATTTCATATCCTGAGTACCTCGACCATATATTCTTCCTTTCGAGTCTTTATATGCTTCATAAGGATCATAACTCCAATGTCCCTGAAAATTAAAACTCACCTTTCCAACAGGACTAGTTTACTAAATTGGGACAACTAGAAATATGCAACTTGAAGCTGACTGAGAAAGTAGTTAGACGAGAATGAAAGCAAGAGAAAATGGTTAATTATTTTCAACGCTAATGTAAAAAAAGGCAAAAGAGTTTCAAGTGAATTACTTTAGATGCATTGACAACGTCAATGTGAGAATTCAGTACCAAAGAAGGTAGATCTGGATTTGTCCCGCGAAGCGTTAAAACAATGACTGGCTTGCCAGAAACGGGCTAAAATATCTGTTCGCATTGCACAGGAAGAGGAAAAATCACATAAATTAAAAACGTTGGAAACCACTCTATATCAACAAGTAAAGCGTTTATTCTAGAAAATTATAATTCACAGTGCTAACCTCATAAATATTTTTTTCCAATCCAAGTTCGTCACCCAGCCCTATTAGAAAGTTTTTACAAGACTCTGAAACCCAGAATCACATCGCGTCTTCAGAGCTGATCAAAAAAGGAAAAAATTAAATGTTAAAAACAAGATCAAATTTAAATTCACTTACAATGCTCATAAGAATTCTAAGTCTTCCATTTGAGAAAAACTCTTAGCATAATCCCCATCATATAACTAGTACAGAATGACTTATAACGATAAACTAGCTATCTCTAGAATGATGAAGAATAGTCAAATGACCAACCGTAATTGGGATTAGGATGCTCAGTGTTGATTCGAAGATATTTCCGAAAATTTGTTACTGCAATATCTTCCATTATCCAGTTCAGTAACCAATAAAAGATTAGGCTAAAATAAATCCCATAAATTAAGGTTGTCAATATACAACCAGTTTACGCTTACATATATAACATTTAACAAAGTCATTAAGTTTAAAAAAGTCGGTGCTAGATTTCGGCATCATCAATTGCCAACATCAGGACACCAAGGGAGTTGACAAGAAAAATATACGCTGTCGCTAATAGTGAATGGGAAAACAGAGTCAAAAAGCGCTCAATCAGCATGTTTGCAAAAGTATTTCTCCCTGTAGTATCAACCCACTTGTTTACTATACATGGAGTGAAAAACGATAAAGAAGAAAAAAAATTATACGCATTGTGCAATAGTAAAAATTCATGTTCAAAAGAAACTGTTTCATTCGATCGACAGATTTCATATTCTCCCGTAAAAAAACTGACAAAGCCAACTGCCCTCTCAAACGGCAAACAGTCGACGAACGGATCTGGAATGAGGCATTTAGCGACATAAATTATACCTACTGCTATAAGTGGTATGATAACATCTGTACAATTAATTCCCAATGACCACCTCTTAAAATATGTCATATTACATTACCATTGTTTTAAATAAAAAAATAACACTAAGAATGAAAAGCCCCTTCGCGCTGCAGAGGAAAAAAAAATGGGTAAGTGTCAAAAGAGAAAAATATACTGAGCAAGAGTTACTGCAAGATCTCGGTTATTCTTGGTGGAACACAATTAGATCCACAGAGTCGTACAGACGCCGGTCGTCTTATAGTGCTTCCTTAAAAGAGTTCGCCAGCAGTTTTCGGGATCCGTTCAAGTACTGACGAAGAATAATGTTGTCCACTTGCTGGATACCGACTATAATAACACCGAAAAGTTACCACTGGTCACCGGTTAATGTAGCCTTTTGTAGAATTGCAATAAATCACATGCGGATCCATCAAATGCGTGAAATTTCAATGGTAGTAATTTAAAATAAGGATTATAAATCAGAGTAAATACTCTCTGGATGCATAATTCTTTTTCACTGGGACGCCAGTTTGATAATTCCATTATTAAATAATGAGGGCAAATGATGAGGGTAAAATAACAATGTGTCAATAAGGCGTTTTCCACAGCACCGTCACTATTCCTCGTACTGTTTATTATTGGTGAAGCGATCCAAATCCTCAAAGCAGCAGAAATCTATCTGTTTCAGGTAGGATATATACAGTGAAATAAAAAGATTTTTCCAACAAGTTTCTTGATCTTCTGCCTCATACTCGCTGTACTGACGAATCACATTGTATAAAGGGAAAGAAAAAGCTCATTTCAGCCCAAAAATGCTGCCTCTTCCTTCTCTAACTTTTCATAAAACCCCTTTATTTCCGTTCAGTAACACTTTGTAAGTTTTTTTCCAAGAAAAGGGCTCACTGATCTTGATCGGTCTATACTGAACAACTGCTACAAATTGACGGTTTACAACAGTGCGTGATAACTTAAGTATCAATCTATCGATCATTTTCGGCCACCATGCAATGACTATTGCTCCTTTAGAACTACTTACTTTTTCAGCCCAAAAAACTGAACTGAAGAAAGAGCCCATCTACCGCGATTGCAAAGCAGAGTTTCTCTGAAGACAAAGAAATCAAAAGCAACTGCTCAAACCTGTGATGGCGTTTAGTTAAAAGTCTTCGAAAAAACATCGGAATTGCGGTTTTCTAAAAAATCTTTGATCTTAACTACGGAAACTTTGGTGTTTGCTCAAGAAAGGGCCTCAAAAATTGTACAAAACCAGCAATGCAAAGAAAATTTTTCTGAGAATAATTTCTGGTTTGTTTGATATCCTGTTCCAGCTATTATGGTTTCAATCCAAGACAAACTCAACTTCCGTGTTCTCAAGGCGCTACTGCTGCCTCCAAAAAACTACAAGAAGATTCAGAAAACACCAAGCTACGAACGCTTCTCTAACATGATTTCCACATGAGGCCGCTTCATTCTCCATGGGTCTGAAGAAGAATGTTAAAAAAAGATTTCAGAGTTGTTCCTCCAACTTGCATAATACGAATACAATAATATGACTAAGATTACTTTCACAGTATACAGCCTGCTTTCAAATCTCTGCAATAGTGTGTTTAAATACCAAGGTACTTTTGATGTCAAAAATACGACATACAACGCACTCCGGCCTGGCAATAATTTGGTTTCTTTGTGGCAAAGCAAAGCAACAAGCTCTCAAGTTCTTCGGTCATTTTATTTACGAAATTAACAGTGATCAACGGTTTACAGCATTAATACGGCATCAGTGAAACTGAGCGTTGTATGCCATTTTTTGAACTTGTTACAAACAAGAAAAGTCAAGAAACTTTACAGAAGGGTTAAGTTGTCTAAAAATTTTTCAGATGCCCTTAGAAATATGTTGTAATATCTTTGGCAGCTTCAGTAGTTGTATTTTTTGACTGATGAGTGTAGCAAATTGTTATCTCAGTTTTGATGGTGTACGGATGTCTGATGTTTGTTCAGTTATTTCAGTATACATACAAAAACAAAACTGAAAAATACATCAGCATTCAAATACCGTACAGATATTACGCGAACATTATCATTATTACAATTATAAGAAAAATTGATAGGAATATCAACAATAAAATAGCCTTTTTTTTAAAACTGTTTCTTCAGTTATACTTCATTATTCTAAAGTATTTAATTTTTTTTTCACATCACTAATCGACATCGGCTACTGTCCTTTTATCAGCAGATCTTTTAAGCCACTTAAATTCAATGACATTAAAGCCCTTTTGCTACAGAAAAACATTATTTCTTTCTCCAATTCTCTGTTCAAAACAGAAGATGGTTATCGTTCTTATCATAAATTCTTGACGTTTAATCTTATTGTAAGTGTAATAGGATTTTTTTCAAAAATATTTTTTAGTATATGTTAATCACATTTTACGGACATTATCTCTTACTACTGATTTAAAACGATAGAAGTATTTTTGCTATCCAAATTAATATCCATAATGAAACTAAGTGTATAATAATATTTTTCTTTTTTAAATCAAAATATTCTTTTTTTTTTTTTTTTTTTTTTTTTTTTTT